TTCTCACTCCAAGGTGATATGGATGTGAGATGTATCTATCTCACATCCAAAATCCTCCCATACAGGCCTAAATGGTCTAGGTCCCTGACTGCTCATATGAGAATAAATGATCACCTGACCTTCCAATTACAAGTTTCTGACTACCCCAGGTCCACAGCCCTTAGCCATGAAGGTTGGCCTCGAGGTAGGTAGACCAGAACTCCTGAATACCACTTCCATGCACTTACCACGAGCAGCTCCATAAGAGTGTACTCTCTTAGACTCCTGGCACCTGACTGAAGGGAAAACTCGATCAGACAAGCAATGGCTTACGATTACAAGCAAGGGTTTAACAATCTTGGCAACCACTTTCTTAGGTTTCACTCCCTAGCTTCTTGCCCCAACAATCCTGTTTACTATGCCTTCCTTCCTACAAGCCTGAGAACAGGAATAGTGCTGGGACACCTGTATTGTTGGCACTCGTGTAGACTTCCAAGTAGACATGGGTGAAGACAATACTTAGTCTGACAGCTCCTGCCTGCAAGGCTCAGGATACACTGTAAAATAAGTACGTAGTTCAAGGCCCCAAGGAGCAGGAAATGGTGAGTGATTGTGGAGGATCTGAATCTGTTTCTCATTTGAATAGTAACTTCTGCAGTCAAGCACATAGACACAAACCAAGTACTATGAAGGTACCTAAGAAGTCTGGAGAATAGCAAACTAACTCAGAATAAAAGGATGGATGGAGGCCAAACAAGGATGTTGCTAGTACATGTTGGAGTAGGTCTCCTGCAGGCTTCTCTGACAGATTCACTCCTTATCTTTCCTATTTTGCCAGAGGAAGAGGATAGAGAGATTAACAAGCACCAAGAAGTTCTGTTTGCTTTTAAGAGGGCCACCACATAAGCAGTCAAGTATGTTCTGTGAGCAGGGAAAGAGCTTCCTAAAGGAAGCAGTCAGTATGACATGACCATGGCATCAGGCAGATGCGTTTGCTTCTGACAACCAGGACAATGTCACAGTAAGAAAAGGCATGGAGAGGAGGAACGACTGGAGAGAGAGCTCAGATGGTGAGTGCTTGCCCTATAAGCACAAGGACCTGAGTTCACTCCTCAGAATCCACATATAAGAAATGCTGGTGTTGGGCCTAGGATTAATTCTCAGCACCCAAATGGTGGCTCACAACCATCTAACTCCAGTTCCAAGAATCCAACACCCTTTTCTGGCCTCTGCAGGTACCAGGCATTCGTGTGGTACACAGACATATGTGCAGGCAAAACACTCATAAAATAAAAATAAACAATTCTTTTGAAAAAATTCTCAACATGGTGGCATGTAGTTGTAATCCTTTGGCTCACTGGCCACTAGCCTTGTGTGCTTGGTGCACTCCAGGCCAGTGCGGGACCTTTGTCTCAATGTTTTTAAAGGAAGAGGTAAGGGACTGGCACCTGAGGAATGATCCCCAAGGCTGCCCTCTGACCTACTTCCACATGCACCTGTAGAAACCTATACATACAATAGAGGGGAAAGACTCAGGCCCAGGCTACCAAAGTCTCCACCCCCTCCACCACACACACACAAAGGAGATCTGAGTCCCAGAGAACAAAGAACTCTGCCCTGGATTTAGCATCCCACCAAATGCAGGTGAGGACTTTTTCTCATCTGGCAGTCATTCTGTTTGTTCTGCCGATTGCTTAGCTAGGTAGGTTTATTTCATCTCTTTCCAAGTTGTCCTTTAAAAAATATCTTCTTATTGCTTAGGTTCTGTTAGGGACTATGTAGGAATTTCCATCACATTTTATTATGTGCTCTACATTACCAACTGGTTGATTAATAAAACAAAACTCAATGTGATTTATTTTAAAAAGAGGAGACCCATTTTACTGACAATTTTTAAATGCAGAAACTCCAGGGGGGCAAATGGCCTGGAGTTTAATGCAACAAAAGGAAGGGCCTTTAAGGCCACTGGGTGAACTCATGCCTAGGTACTGCAGGCCTGCTGTGCAATGGGGCCAACTCACCTGGTAGTACACAGTGACTTCAGAGTTGGCATCGCCTTTATTCAGAGCTCTGACTTTGCATAAGTGGTGGCCGCTTGGCAGCTCCACCACCTGGAACTGCACAGGCATCCCCTGCTCCAGGGGCATGAAGTTCAGCTTGCTGCAAAAGAGTCAGCGTGGGTCACAGAGGCAGACCTTATGCTCTCCCGCAACCCCAAACTGAAGAAGGCAGGTTTCTCCTCCCTTCTGAACTGCTCTGTTTACATCAGGCTCAAGAAACCAAGCAGAGGGAGGAGCTGGAAGAGCTGTGAAACAGTCAGGTGAGCTATACAGTGTAACGCTTCTTCCTGGGACGAGCACTAAACCTCAGAGGAAACAAACCAATACTTACTCAACAACGTATTTCAGGAAATCCATAGACTCCTGAAAGGTAAAAGAGAATAATTCCAATTTTCTAATTCCCTGCAGCACTTAGGGCAGACAGCATTAGGAAAGCAGAGAGTCTGTCACCTAATCCCTGGACAAGCTGTTTATCAGGCTAGTTATGTCCATCAAATACTGTGTGACTCAAGCTGCCCCTCTGCCTACTGTGCTTACATTTTAATGCTCCCCGTTTCACACTGGCTTACCTAGCTAGGCCATGCTTATGGCCAGGGCTGTATTTTGGAAGTCTGGGCAGCTGACACATCTGCCATGGTAGAGTAAGCACTTGACTGAGTACATCCCTTCTGTTCCTCCCGAGACCTGGTCTGCCTATACAATGCTAAGTGAAGGTGAACTCAACTCTGTGAAGTGTTTCTCTGCAGCTATTTCATGACACCAAATCCTCAGCCCAAACCCCTGCTTGGCCCTCCCATTGTGTCAGACAGACACTAGCTAGTCCTACTTTTCTAGCTATTGAGACTTGGAAGGTCTTTCTATTGGCAGGGTGGAAACCAAGGCTGTTTTGGAAGATAAAACCAGAAAGAAGGGGAAGAACAGAAGCCACAGTTCTAAGAGTGACCATTTTTATATTCTGCAAAAGGCCACTACAGTTCAGGTCCCTCTCCCCAGGGAGTTTGGGTATCTCCCCAGTTGTCTCTAAGCACTTTTCATTTATTTCATTATTTTCAGGCTTCATCATTTTCATATCACATAGCTTATCACTTAACAAAGTGTACAGTTCTTAATTCCAGGACAATTTTTAATTCTCAGGAGGCAGAGGCAGGCAGATCTCTGTGAGTTCAAGGCCAGCCTGCCTTACAGAGCAAATTCCAGGCAGCTAGGGCTATACAGTGAAACCCTGTCTTGAAAAACCAAATATATATATAAAATATATATATATATATAATATATATAATATACATGTACATATATAATGTGTATGTATGTGTATGCACACACACAAATTCGGTTAACTATAGTCACACTTGCGAGACATATTTTCAAAATATTTCCATCTTGGAAAATCAATTCTATATTCATTAAACACCTCCTTCCTCCCTCCCTCCCAACCCCACTGGCCCCTAGAAATGAGCATTGCACCTCTTCTGTCCATCCTACTACTTAGATACTTCAGAAAGAGTGGCTACCTCGCTGCTTAGCTTGCCCGAGCTCAGCATGCAGGTTCTGGCTGTGCATGTGTGCACACATACTTTATCACTTTCCTCTTCCTAGTTTACTCTCTACTTATCGTTTTCTCATATGGCCTTCAGCAAATTGAACCAAAACAAAATAACAAACCCCTTTCACTCAATCATAAACAGTCTTCTTCATATGACCTGGCCTGGCATCAGAGGTCAGGATCTTCTACCAGAATTTGCCGATGCTAGTCCAATAAAACCTTTAGAACAATGTAATTCATAGGCCCCGCCTACCGTAAGAGCACCTCACTCACCGTGCTGGTGACATTCCCTTGTACCAGGCCTTCAACAAAGAGCTGGGATTTAAAATCCTTGACAAAGTTCAGCAGAGAATCAAGGGAAAGGCCATCCATCAAAGCCTGGTACTTGTCAATCATAGACCAGCGGGAATATTCCAGGATTAAAAGCCTCACATCTCTGTACAAAGGACATTTAAAAACAAATGTTGCAAGAAATGTATCTTCAGAAAAATGTTAGGTCAAGATTCTGTAGAAGACAAGTGATTCCCATCATAATGTATGAAGGAGAAAAATGCCAAAATAGCCAAAGTAGCAATTAAACTGCATACAAAGTTTTAAATGGGTTTATCCACCAATACAATGCACCTTCCTGTCTAAGATATAGAGTGAAATATTTCATGTAAGTTGCTAAGTAAGTCAAATTTAACTAATTGTACACTAATTATTGCTGTTTTGTTAGAAGTCTCACTAATGTGTAATTCTAGCTAGCACTAGAGTGATTATGATTGCAGTGGCCTTAGTTCACGATCAGACTAACTTCACTCCTCATCTCCAAACTGCCTCCATAATAGCTACTGGATTTCTCGAGTTCTTAATATCTGTGATTCAATTTCTTTGTCACTTATAAAACAGCAGGACCTGTGTTTAAGGTCAGGCTGTTGGATGACCATTTACAGACACCCAAGCCATGAAGTCCTGAAGGGACTTAAAGCCACGAAGACAAAGGGCTGTGTCTACTCACAGGAACCTTCTCTGCCCTTCCCACAGAGTTCTTCTATCAGCTAAAGAGGAGTGCCCCAAGGCACCTTTTTCTGATTCACACCAAGATACTCATGCAGGTTGCAATTAGCCAGGGGATCCATGTCACAAAGGGTTTACACTTTTGCTCAGGTGTTCAGCTCCCTTCTGTACTCTTTCGATAGAGGAGGTTAAAAGGTACTGACATGGTGAGCAATTCAATTCAGCAACTCATCCACCGCCTTCTACGAAGTCGAGCGTTTTTAGGCATACCCCACGTGTACCTACTTGGCCAGAGTCTCAGGCTTGATGAGGATATTGAAGTAGGTCTTCTTCAGTTGCTCCGTTATCATTGTGAAGACAGCAGGTGTGGAACTGAACTCCGCCAGGTAGTCAATAATGAGCTGAAAGAGCAGCTAAAAGAGACAGCACTTTAAGCAGCAAAGCATGGAAAACACTCAACTTCAAGGAGGAAAGCTTTTCTTCAGTAGCACCAGGGCCAGGGAGGAAAGGTACTGCAGGGGACCCAAGAGAAGTCCTCAGGACTCAGTCCCCGGAGGCCAAAGCTGCGACATTCCTCAAAGCCAAAGCAATATGCCTTCAGTTTTCATCGTTCTCCTTCCAAACTATTTTTAAAATGTGCCTTTAATTGAAAGGGTATTATATTTGCACATAAATTTTGGAAGCAGTGATAACTGTTTAATATTGAGTTGTCTTGTCCAAGCCAGACATGGTGGCTCACGCCTTTAAGCTCAGTACTTGGGAGGAAAAGGCAGGTGGATCTCTGTGAGTTCAAGGCCAGCCTGGTCTACAGAGCATGTTCTAGGATAGCCAGGGATACATAGTAAGACCCTATCACAAAAAACAAAACAAAAATTGTCTTATCCAGAAATGTGAAGTTTTATGATTTTCTTTAGATAGAACTTAAACTTTTTCCATTTCCTAGGCATTTTTTTCCCCCAACATGTAACTCAAATACTTGTTTCCAATCATTTCTAAAGGGCAGTAACTGCTTCGGAGGGACAAGCCTATTGGATCAACCATCACAGTTGTGTCGTCAACCTCCTCACACTAAGCAGCTCTGTCATCAGGAACGTAGCCAAAATGCATTATTTATTGTACAATGTTCTTATATTCAATTTTCAATTTTTTTTCCTTTGGTTTTTCGAGACAGGGTTTCTCTGTGTAGCTTTGCGCCTTTCCTGGAACTCCCTCTGTAGTCCAGGCTGGCCTCGAACTCACAGAGATCCGCCTGGCTCTGCCTCCCCAGTGCTGGGATTAAAGGTGTGCGCCACCACCGCCCGGCATATTATTCTTAAGTATTAAGGTGAGGTATACCTCAAAAAAATAGAGAACACCAATTTTCTAAGATTTGTATTTTAAACAGTTTTCTAAGCATATTTCCCAAACGACATCCACTGTATTCTGGGATTTAATCTGTTTGAATCTTAAAGCTACATTTGAAGGTGAACAAAAGTAAGTCACTCCATAGTGCCTCCTGCTGGTCAGACAGAGGCAAAGGTGTAAAGGGAAGAATTAGAGTTTTGTCTGCATCAGGCCGGATTCTGCCAGGATCTTTCTGTGTGACCTTTCTTATATGAACCCAATTCCCAGAATATTAATGTCCTTCCTTAAATCTGTTATTGCTCTTTTGTGAGACTTTACCTCAGACCAAACCTAAATGCCAGTGTGGGCTTCAGAAAAACAGAGAGCAAACAGAAGTGAGATCAGACCTAACGGAGGTGTTTCCTATGCACTGTCAGTTATATATTAATGTCTTATTAATAGATATACATATATATAATGTATATATTTACAAATTTCTTGGGGCTAGACTGGGCGGTGGTGGCACACACCTTTAATCCCAGCACTCGGGAGGCAGAGCCAGGCGGATCTCTGTGAGTTTGAGGCCAGCCTGGTCTACAGAGTGAGTTCCAGGACAGGCTCCAAAAGTTACACAGAGAAACACTGTCTCAAAAAAAAAAAAAAAAATTCTTGGGGCTGGGGAGATAGCTCAGTCAGTAAAGTGTTTGCCACACAAGCCTGAGTTCCTGAGTTCCACCCCAGCATCCATGTCAGAATAAGCCAGGCACCATGGCACCCCGAGATGGAGAAGCCCCAGATTCAGGGATAGGCCTGTTCTAGTCTGCTCTCTGTTGCTGTCATAAAACACTGACCAAAACCAGCTTACAGAGGACAGGGTTTATTTAGCTTACACTTCCACATCACAGTCATCACCGAGGGAAGCCAGGGCAAGAACCTTGCTACGTATGTTCAAAGTTAGAGCAGGTGTCATATGCAAGGAAGACCTAGGACACCGCCCATCGGGAAGTCCTCCTATCAAAGACCACATTTGGGCCTCTGCTTAGTGCTCTGGGGCAACAAAGATAAATATGGGATTTCAAAGCTCCTCTGAGAAAAACAGAGCTCGTATACTTACAGGTAGTTTGTGGTTGAACCCTTTCACTCGAATGATTAAACCATGTTCTCCAGCTACCAGTTTATACTCCAGCTGTGCCACGTCCGCTTCATAAGCTGGTTCAGCAAGGTTATGAGTGAGAATGTTGACGAAGATGTCGAAGAGGACAACACTGGGAAGTACAAAATGCAACTAGCATCATTAACTGGCAGAAAAGACAGGAATACATAGACTTGTTTCTATCAGAGGAAGAACCTTCACCTTTAATAAGGCGTTCCTTCCTTCTCTAGAACACACAACCCATGAGGTGTGAAAGGAAGCCTAGCTTACTCAGGACTCAGCTTCACAGGTCTATCATAGGACTACTTCAGTAGCTCCCCCAGTCTTTTCACGTCAGATACACACAGAAAATGACAACAGGCGCACGCACAATGAGGGAATGATCCAGCATCTGAAGCAACCAGCCCCAACTAGCCATCAACCCTGGTACCAATCAGGCTTAGGATTTCCGACTTGTAAATTTAAAATATGAGGAAAGGGAGAACAGTAACACATGGGGGTGTGGGGTGGGTAGTAGGGAATGCTCACCATTTAAGGCTGGATTTTCTAATTAAGAGGCAAAGAAAAAGAAATGCAGCCAGGTGGTAGTGGCATGCACCTTTAATCCCAGGGCTCAGGAGGCAGAGGCAGACGGATCTCTGAGTTCAAGGCCAGCCTGGTCTACAGAGCAAGTCTCCAAGACAAGGTTCCAAAGCTACACAGAGAAACCCTATCTCAAATCAAGAAAACAAAGAAAAAGAAGCGCTCTAACGTTTTCTAAGCCTTTCCTATGACTCACTTTTAGGCCCTCTGATCTCCCACAGTGCAGCTATCTATATAAATACATGAATAATTTGTTTAAAAAAAACCCAAGGTATAATTAAAAGTCTGGAAGTTGGGGTTGGAGAGATGGTTCAGCAGTTAAAAGCTCTTGCTGATAACCTGAGTTCAATTCCCAGGACCCACAACAGATAATTCACGACAGCTTATAATTCTAGCTCAAGGGGATCCAATGCCCTCTCCCGGCCTGTTCTGGAACCTTCACCCACATGCAGCAGCAGCAGCACCCCATCCCACCCCTAGTCTCTGTCTCTGTCTCTGTCTCTCTCTCTCTCTCTCTCACACACACACACACACACACACACACACACACACACACACACACACAAAATTTAAAACAAAATAAATTCTAAAACCCTGCAAGTCTTTAGGTACTAGACCAACAGAAATTCAGTCAGTCTTCCCTGTAGACAGGGAGCCAGCATCTGGATGGCTCTATTCCTAGTTCAGAGTGAGGGCTGGACTTTAGGGCCTTCCCCAATGCAGTCATTCTGTGATTTGCTTACAAGCTATTCTAACTTGTTTAGAGCACAGAAAACAAACAGAAACCATAAAGCAGCCAGCACAGCTCAAGTACTGAAAGAGAAAATAACCAACTGTTCAGACTGAAAGAAAACTGCTTTCCAACAGTTACATAAAACACTCAGTGTGCTGGCTCTGAGGAAACACTTCTCCGAAGAGTCTGCCTCCATGGTACTGATCTCTTCTTAGTTACAGCTGATTCTTCAGCTCCGGCTAACCAGACACCACAGATTCTTAATGGGAAATATCACAGAAAAGGCCCCATGGAGTCTTGGCTTCCCTTTGAAACTTCACAAGGCAGGCTTCATCATCTGCATCACTCTCAGCATTATCCTCCAAGGTCCCAGAACAGCTCATCAAGCTCTGAACACTCCAGGGCTTCTCTAGCCCAAAGTCCTTCCACAGTCCTCCCTAAAACATGGTCCAGTCTGTCACAGCAAAAGTCCACTCCTGGCACCAACTTCTCAGTTAGGGTCATCACTGCTGTGATGAAACACCATGACCAACAGCAACTTGGGAAGGAAAGAGTTTATTTTGCTTACACTTCCACATCACAATCCATTGTCAAAGGAAGTTAGGATAGAAACTTAAGCAGGGCAGGAACCTGGAGGCAGGAGCTGATGCAGAGGCCATGGAGGGGTGCTGCTTATGGCTTGATGGCTGGCTTACTCATGGCTTGCTCGGCCTGCTTTCTTATAGAACCCAGGACCACTGGCCCAAGGATGGCACTACTGACATCAACTGTCAATCAAGAAAATGTACCACAGGCTTTCCAATGTGGTGGGGGCATTTTCTCAATTGAGGTTCCCTCTTCAAAAAAAATTCTAGCTTGTGCAAGTTGACATAAAACTAGCCAGCATAGTCAACAGTTAAATTTTTTTTCTTTTTCTTTTCTGAGGAAAAAATAACACCACCAACACCACCACCAACAAAGCCCAAACACTCACTTGGCTGCAGACTTCTGTATCAAAGGTGAGATGAGATGGAAACGGATGTAGGCTGGAAGAAAAAGACCGTGAGTAAAACAGAGAAGGCCAGAGGGCTCAAACACTCAAACACCCACTATTTCCCCAATGTGGCTCTGAAAGTCTAAATAAACTACTAATCCTGAAAGCTTCATTACAAGTTTATTCTCTTTTATCCCTACATACTTTATTACTCTAAAAGCTTTTAAAGGGTATTTTTTACCATTCCAAATAAAGTATCATAGAAGGCATGCTTTAACCTATGGGAATATCAGACACATACAGAAAGGTCCACAAATAACCATATTTATCAGTAACTTCAGACAGGCAAAAATACGTATACAAGTCTACAAGTTAGGACATTAATCAAGCAACTTGGTATTCACAGAAGTCAGAACAACAGCTGTTTTCTAAAGAAGCTGAATAAATGGCAATTACTATTTCTAAGTTCTTATAAGCCATTCAAGAAACTCTGATGGTACAGCCTCAACTCCCCAAACCTGGGAGACTGAGGCAGGGGGGTTGCCATTTGGAGGCAGACCTGGACATACTGAGTGAGATTTTGGAGAAAGGAGGCATGGGGAGGAAGGAAGAAAGGGAGGCTGTGTAAAGGACAGCCTCAGACTCCGACTCCAAGCTGCCAACATAACAACACAGTTTGGGCCATCATCTAAAAGATAAGGAATTTAGAGTCTGTTTAGTCCCAAACTACACATGCTTTATGCTAGAAACAAAGGGCAGAAATACGCAATTGGGGAAGATTCACGCTACAATTCTGGACTAGGCTTTCTATTGTATCTAGGAATAATTTTCCTCATATCTTATTCTATCTGTTTTTAAACATAATGTTCAAATAATATAATCAATCCTTTAAGATAATCAAATATCTGGTTCTAATTTCATTGTTCTGAGAAAGAAAATACTTAAAAACAATTTCTTTCTAGAATTGAAAAAAAAATTTTTTTTTTCTTTTTTTTTTTGGTGGAGCTGAGGATCGAACCCAGGGCCTTGCGCTTGCTAGGCAAGCGCTCTACCACTGAGCTAAATCCCCAACCCTAGAATTGAAAATTTTAATTGTGTGTGTGTGTGTGTGTGTGTGTGTGTGTGTGTGTGTGTGTGTGTGTAGGTCAGAGGACAATTCTTAGAAGCTGGTTCTCTCCTCCCACCACGTAGGTCTTGGGGATCAAAAGTCAGAACATCAAGCTTGGCATTAAGTGCCCTTTAGCTGCTAAGTCATCTCAGCAGCCCTACAGCTGACTTTCTATTTCCTAGAAAGCAGATGTCTATATAGATTCCTATAAGCATAGGAGCACACTATTCATCTGTGAGTGTAAAAGAGGGCTTCAAAGGGAAAGTGATGGGGAAGGAGGTAGGCAACAGGAACAGAGAGGTTGCTATATAAGAGAAAGATTTCCTACTTCACTCCTTTAGAGGGCAGATCTTACCTTTGGGGATTTTGAATTTGTTGTCTTTCTTATACCACAGGCAACCTTGTGGAGTGTTCACAATTTTAGCGGGGTATTCAGTTTCAAGGCAATCAAAAGCCTTCAATGTAAAGTCCGTGGCTAACAACATGAACAAAAGAGTGATCATTTTTCAAATATTGGAATACAGTGTACACTTGGGCCTTACATTAGATGAAAACTGAATATGTCTAATTCCCAACAGTAGATTCTTATCTCTAGACAGACATTCAGCTTCACACCCTTTCTCAAGTAATTGTTAACTAGAAGAAGGTGGCCTTTGGGTCAGGGTACTTGTATAACTCAATCTTTGAATGAATATATTCTTCAATAAGTATATCTTTTGCCAACCTTAAGGACTCTGAAAGGTTACTAAACAGTTCTGTTCAAATAAACCCTAACTTGTCATTTCACATTAATGGCAAACTGTTTAGTTAACACGTTAATTAGGTAAGAGATAAGAGATGTTAATTTAAAGAAAATGGAGAATAAAAGATACACATAATATATTTATTAAAAAGTATTGATGGGGCTAGAGAAATGGTTAAGAGCACTGGCTGTTCTTCCAGAAGATCAAGGTTCAATTCCTAGCATCCATATGGTTACTCTACAGATATTGAAAATTCTTGAGCCAAACCATATGTAACTCATGTCATGTGGGTGCTGGGAACCGAACCTGTTCCTCTGCAAGAGCAACAAGTGCTCTTAACCACTGAGTCTGCTATCTAGGCCCTTGACAGTATTTTAAAGATTCATCACA